AGGGCTTGTCATTGTTGTAACTCACCCTGGTGCGTGTTGGTACACAGCAGTCCTCACAGAAGCTGATGTAGGATGTTACAGCCTCTGTGTACTCATCCAGGCTGTTGGTAGCAGTCCAACTTTAAAGCTTTCCTCCTCAATTAATTGACAGTATGGCAGAAGGTACAAGATGAGGGCCCAAGTAAAGAGTGAATGTGAATGAGAATGCCGATGTTCGTCAGTATTGCAAAGCAGAACAAGAATATCACCACGTCACAACTACAAAGCAAATACAGTGGTACCTCAGAACTCGAATTTAATCCATTCTGAACTCTGGATCTAATCCTAAAACGTTCGAGTTGTGATCGAATTTTCCCCATAAGAAATAATGGAAAACCAATTAATTGCTTCCCGGCCCCAAAAAATGTACACCTAAATATGTTTTTTTAGCATTTAAACACAAAATGAACCGGATAAAACAAGAAGAGCATATACTGTACTAAGCACATCTAAGCACATTTATCAAAACAGAAATTTGTAAAGTAAGAAAGTAAATGTATCCAAACAACGTGTCCTGCTCCGACTGTCCGCTCCTTCCGTGTGCCACGCCCCCTCGTTAACCGCATGTGGAATCCCCCTGCAATCAGCTGTTTCTGGTTGTTGTCATTAGTCCTCTGTATTTCGTCCACGTTTCAGTTTGTTTCCCCAGTCCGGTCATTGTATTGTCCGTGTGCATTTTGCCTGCCTTACCTGTAATTAAACCCCGTATTCCCCGATACCATGACATCTGCGCCTTTGTCTCCGTTCTGTCCCTGATCGGCAAAACAATATTATTATAATTAAACGTATTAATGGTTTATTAATATTAAAATGATGATTAAGAGATCTTTATTTTTAAATATATTTTATTATATAATAATTACTGTTACTGTCTATCATTGTCTAAATGTATTTTTACTGTCTAAATATATGTATTCAGGTAGTGTAAACATGCACGATGCTATCACAGCGAATGCGAGGCTGAGACTGAAGTCTTACCCTTTGTTTCCGCTGAGAGACGTGCTGCGTGACTCATTTCCCCGCGCGTACAAGTTATCTTAGGTCGACATTCACGGTTTGACTTCTGAGATTCAAATCGGGCTCTAGGTCATTTTTTTTCGAACTGGTTGGTTTGAATTTTAAGAAATCCTAGTTCTAATGAGTTCGAGAACTGAGGTACCACTGTACATCTTAAAAGAAGGCATTTGGGGTTGATGGATTCACCCAATAATGCGAGATTAGATATATCGTAGATATGTCCCATTTAACCTCTGTTACCCCTACTTGTAAAGGTTACCCCATCGCTTAGCCACATCATTGTACATAATTCAGTACACAATAACCAATTAACTTTTATTATGTTTTAACGTATTGCGTGTTTTGAATAGGCTGAATGAGAGTAGAAAAAGATAGCATTGCGATATTTAGAAGTTGAAAATGAACTATAAACCCAAATGTAGAACTTATCTACCTTTAACTTATCTGCCAACAGAGTCCATCAAATAACTCGTTGTTGCCGAGAGTGGCGCCAACAGACAGAAAGCAGTGCCGACAAATTGCCTTCTGCCGTAACAGCATTTGTGTTTAGGCTTAATAGTTCATACTATAATTTAGCAGTTTTTGATAGAGGTTCATGTGGACATTTTTGTCTTGGTAGAGCTTTGTTAGGTGATTGATAGCCCACTTTTCATAAAACACAAAAAATTTTAAGGCTTTCATGCAGTTAATGAATAATGAACAAATTTGCAACTAATGTTGTGGAAACACATTAAACGGTAATCTCACATTATCACACATACAGTCTAAAGACTTGCAAAGTTGGGTAGGTATTTGTTAACCTGTGTCAGTAAAACAACATTTAATGTCTAACATGTCCAACATGTCCTTAGATATAGATTATTGATGTTACTGCTGTTAAATGTATATATATTTTTAAAATATATATACATTTAACAGAAGCTACTCTAGGGTGTATTGGAAACTTTTAAAACATATATTCAGCACCCATGGCAAGGTATCTGGTGCAGAATGTGCAAGTCCCTACTGATAATGGCTAATCATATTATAAGCAAATGAAGAAAAATGGAAGGATTCCCAAGAATGTTGAGGGCTTAACCGCAAATGCTCAGAGAAGTGTGTTCAGCTAGGCAGGGGCCCATCCTTAGCCTCTACACCAGCAATAAACCTGCGACAAACAGCAGTAAATCTAATAAATCTACAATTTCTGATGCAGAAAGGACATTCAGTCTGCCCTGAATCGCTAACCCCCCCCACCTTCAGCCCGGCTGCATTCTTAGCCACATGTCATCCGTTAAAAAACAGAAGAAAAAAAACACAAACTAGTCTGAACCTGATTCTTGATCTCTACACCAACCCGGACAGCTGGGGTTGAGTGTTTCAGTGGCCTGTCTATTGGTTAGCTAGAAAACTTGTCGGACTTAAGGTGCTCCAGTTTAGATGGATTCTACCTTCCTTCACTTACATTTAGCCCAGACTACCTTAAATAAGATGTTTTCTTAACCCAAAAATCCAACTTAGTGACATAGACTCCTCTTCCCTTCATGTGGCATGTGAGGGGCATAATTTAGGATAATGCCCAGACATCACTGTGTTCCCAGTGTAATTAAAATTTTGAATCCAGATTTTTTTTATTTTTTTTTTCCCCAGCGGCAATTTCTAAAGGCAAAAACAAAACTTATCCTTTACTGCCTGTTCATTAATAGCTTCCCGCTCAAGCCAACAATATAAGTTGCACAGAAATGATTAAACTCGTCTTAATAGTTCTGACGTCACCCATTGCTGTGCAAATGCCAGACGTTATTACTATGGTGGAACCCAAACAGCCCGGGTAACTTGCTCGGGGATTCAACGACAGGCCCTGTCAGTGGCGGAAGTTTGCTTCAGGCGCTGCTTTGTTTCCCAAACAGACAAAGCTCTACGAACTGCAGGCCAAAGCGCGGCATATGTCTGTGGAGTTGGGGGCGGTGGAGCAGAAGAAGAAGGAGTTCCAGGAGGAGCTTCAGAGGCAGAATGAGCTGATAGGCCACATTGAGGCCCAGCACATCAACAGATTGGAGGTGGCCACTGCAGCCTGGAGGCAAGAGAAGGTACTGCAGGGGGCAGACGCATTGGACCCATTCGTTCTGGGCATTATTGATTCAGCTGCATTGTTTTATTGCAGCCCGAGGACTGATCTCTGGTAGAAAAGGTTGGGGATGCTGGTGGTTTATAAAAGATGCTGATGTTCTGTGACTCTTGCGGAGAAAAGGCAGGAATAGGTACAGTGAGATCTTGGTAAGCATTTCTGATTCATTCAGAGTTGTCTTGTTGCTGGGACTTTCTGTACTTTTGGAAACTGTAGTGACTCATTTCTGGGAGGCCCTCTTTCTAAACTGTCTGCAAGGATTAAATAACACAAACGGTGTGTGAAAGCTCAGGGGCATTTAACCAAGCCTTGATATTTCCCATAATGCGTTAGGCCGATGTTGTTGCCAGCGTACATCTATGCCACTTCTCCATTAATCCATCGATGTTCCTGCTTACGGCAAGACTCAGGAACCTTTGTTAAATGCAGCCAGCAGGATCTGCAATTTCTGGGGCATGAAGGACGTTCCATGCCACTATGAATCTCTAACCCGTCCTGTCACGCCTGGCTGTATGTTCAACCACATGCCATCTGTCCAAAAAAATCAGTTACAGCATTCCAGTCCAAACGTGCTGTTAATCTTTTGCTTTTGTGCAGCAGGTCGGCTGCAAACCAGCAGTAGATCGGTGTGTCACCCAGTGGTCTTAAAAACTGCTGTTAGGTTTTCCTTGGCTACTGGAGCAATGTAATGGTTCCATCATACATGGACTGTGGGTGCAAGAGACGGTTGTGCAACAAATACAGTGGTTAATTCAGCCGCAAAGAAATGAGCCTTAATTATTCAACTCATTAAGAACACATTTAATGTAGACCCCCCATGTCCCCAAGGCTGTAACGGCTGTTTATCTTCTACTTATTTACATCAGAATCATGCTCTGTGTACCTGGCTGCCCAATTCCCAGTTGTGGTGTGTTGCTATGGTAACTGTTGTTGGGGAGAAAAAACGACTACCGGGCCAGTGAATGGGTACAAACTGCTGTCTGCATTTGTAATTACATACAATTTGGGGGTGTCTCTCCTTTTAGAAGAATTATGGTTATAAAACGAGGAGATCAGCTTCACTTCCTTTTATCGCAGGGTGTAATATTTGCTGAATATCCTCTGAAACATCAGTGTCGTTTACTGAGGATTAGCTATGTAAACATTTCAATTCTGAATTGTTTTCTATGGCCTGCAGTCTTGTGCTAGATCCTGCTTATGAGGACCTGGTAGTTGTTAGAAAGTTTAATCTGTTCCAGCTAATAATAATGATGAAAAGGAAATTGTACTTGTATTATCTAGCCACAGCACTCAGTATTGGTTTAGTTTTGGTCTGAGTTTTGTTCCTCTCAAAGAATTGTAGATTATCTCCCAACTTGAAGAATTGAGAATACTGTTTCTTTAAGTGTGGTCCAGTGTCTTATTGACATTGAAAATTCTCCCTTTTCCATCTTGATTCAAATGTCATCCTCCAGCACTTGGTGCAAATGGCAAAAAAACATGACAGTTATTGCATTATTGCTCTTTTGCCAGTACTCCTTTATTTATCTTTGATATTTACTTATAATTTTTCCTACAAACCACTCTGCTGCTTCCATAATTGCCCACCCTCCATTGTCCTATCTGGCCATGCACATTATGTATATATGTAGCACTGTGATCCCGCGGATGTTATTTTGTGTCTTAGTAACTTTAGTGTAAATAATATGGTGTGACAATAAAGCCCTACTTGACGTGACTAAATCCAGTCCCCTCCCATTATTGCTGTTGTTTTCTTGTAGGCGGCTGCTATTAGTCAAAGTAGTCAATGATGTCGACGCTGAAAATCCTTCGATGTCAGTATTTTAAATCAACGCTTAATTTTTCTTATTTTAATGAAATTACCATTATGATTTCTAAAATGCTAGAATTCATTATAACACGTTTTCCTTTAATATTACTATGTAATTATGGGAGTAGTGCAAATAATCACATAACAAAATGTTGGTTTTACACTGTGCTGAGTTCGATGGCATACTGCATGGGCACCAGCACTATGCACGAGCGCCTGAAGAGAAAACACACAGGTGCTATTCCGGACCCCCAGAATAAGCAAAACCACCGTAAAGGCTCTCTTTTCGTGTTTATCAAATTACCATTAGTATGGAGAGCGTTTTAATATCTTCTGTCCTTGTAGCTGCTAAAAACACTTATTATTAAAGCCATAAAGTTTTCTGCCTTCTACCTTCGAATCTACATTGAATAAGTGTTTTTGAAAATGTTTAGGCTAAAATCTGGACGTATTGTATGTGGATTGACGGTGCCAGTGGTGTTCGTGTGCATTGGGCTTGTTGGGACCAGTGTTGTTATTGTAAAACTGAAACGAAAACAGACAATGAAAAAAATAATTAAAATGAGCTATATTTACAAAAAGAAAACGTGACGACTTTATTCTGCAAAATGTACCGCCACACCGCCACCATCTTTGTAGCTTGTGTAACCACAGTACTGTATCTCCTCTTTTAATAGATGTCGCGGCTGCTGATCTGTCCCTCCCTACACTGCGACCTCAGTTCTAATCGCTTGTGTTGCATGTGGCTCCGCTAACTGAATTTAATAAGCATGAGCATATGCTGAATTTATACAGATTACTGACTTTTGGGCTTAACAGTCCGCTTCTCGTTAATATTTTAGGCATACTACTAATTTGTTTATCAAATTGTGGCCGAAAAGCCGGCGTCCATCATATAAAGCTGTGAGAGTGTTTGCTGTAATTCTGTAGCTACAGCTTTGGTATTGAGGTTTTCACAAGCAAATAATGCCCCCCGCTCTGGAATTAATCCTGGATTTTTTTTTTTCCCCAGGAGGACCTGCTTTTCAACATCTCCTCCAGCGCTAAGACAATCCAGAGCCAGAAAAGTAAGACCCGTGACCCTTTGTGCCTGCCGTTCTGAATGCTGGTTAGACAAATGCCCTCTGAGTTCACTTGGCTCAGTGTCATGTTTCTCTCTCCACAGGTGAATATAACACTCTGACTGAAAATCTGGAGAAACTGCAGAAGGAATTCCAAGACTGCCAGAGAAATAAAAGCACCATGGATAAAAAACTGTCCGACGATCTGTGAGTGAGCCTGGACCACACCGGTAGCCCGTTCTCTGCTCGTCTGGGCCCTTGAGGGCTGCAGATTTCTGGGGAAACCGTATACGGGGGTCAGAAAGGCTCAGGATGGGTGACTCATTGCCAGTGTGCTAAGATGGGAGGTGGAATATGAACCTATCATTTATGTATCAATTTTTTTTAGCTTCCCTTTCACTCAGAACCTTGGAATCATGGTAACCCCCCTCCCCCTTTACGGTGACCATGTCTCTGACTCTGTGCTGACTGCACTGTGTTTGATCGGCCAGGACGCAGTGTAAAAGCCGGCTTGAGGAGGAGTGTGTGGCAAAGGAGGTGCCAGCCAGGCCGGAGGCTGTGGAGGCAGTGAAGGAGACCCCGGCCCCCCAGGGCCACCTGCAGGTAGCTCCTGTTGTCCGTTGCTGCTCTAGATCACCCCCTCCACCCACTGGTACCTCATGCTTAGGTTCTGCCCATACCTGAAACATGTGAGAGCGTGACTTGCCTGCCTTTGTGCAGATGGGCAGTTTAATTCCATCCTGTGTGTATCACTTACAGTTTAAACGGTTGTTTCATACCATCATATGCTGCCAAATGAGTTTTAGTACCCAAGATCAATGCTGTATATCACTGTCCTTCAGGACCACCCCCCCAAACACACACTGCGATAATTGTGAGACTTCTTTAGGATTTTTCTATTTGCTTTTTTTAGCGTCTTATGCATGGCGCTATTTGTGTGATGTAATTCACACTGTGTTCTTCAAGTAATTAGAATGGGTCTATGTTGTCGTCTGTTTCTGGCACTAAGTTGTTTTGTGTTCCCTTCCCACCTAGGCCTCCCCTGGTTTCACAAAAGCTAAAATGATTAAGGGAGCACAGCAAGGGCTGGTGGAGAGAACGGGCCAGGATGACTTGAAGAAGCAGTCAATCCAGGAGCAGACAGACGTCCAAGTCTCCAAGCAGACCAAGCCAAATCCGACAGAGCTGGACGCCGACCACGTTGTGGACCATGGTAAACAACGAGTTCCTTGTTTGCAGGATGACTTTATGCCGTTTTGCCTCTTTCCTTTATGTCATGCTGCTGATTAGCTGCAGCATTTCCCCTGAATTTTACATAAGGCTGTAGAGAAATGCCACACCAGAGAGTGGCACAAGTGTAACAAAAGTACTGTTGATCGATCCCAGGGTGGTGGTGGCTCTGAGACGCTGTACGTGTCTCTTCCATCGCTATGTAACACTGTTCAAATACGCTAAGAAGGTTGACACGCACCACAGTAACACTTTGATACTGTCACTCTATTTCCAAAAGAATATTTGTTGATTCCTAGTCGATTCATTCAATGTTTTAGATGCATCCCAGTCTGAGAAGGACACCATTACATACAACAAGCCGGCTCCTGCCAGGCCAGAGGACAAGGCGAAGGACAGGACTCCTCAGGAGAATGTGGTGGGCGTGGAGCTCGAGAAAAAGGACCCTAAAACCAATGACACAGAAACAAACAAGCCGCAGGTCCTGGATGTGCATACAGCGGACCTTACATCTGATGGTGAGACCCCCGTCCCCTTTAATGTACCGTTCCAAAGTCTCATGTGAGTAGGAAACTGCTGTAGGACCCAGAAAAGCCACAACATCGTAACATCTCAGCTTCTACCTTTGATTACATTACACACTACAATACTGCACATTACCCAATATTACACAATGTATACTTCTTAAATTAAGTCTTTCTGTATACCTGTATATGGTGGAGATGACAATAAAGTTCATTTTGACTTTGACTTTGATCTTACTATTGGGTGAAGAAACATCACCACTCTAAAAATGATGTCATTTCCTGGTTTTGGCCCCCAGCTGTGGAGAACGGAAGGATGAACAAGGAAGATGATGGAATATATTACGAGGTGGATCCCAGTGCTGGCATGAGGGATATGGATGCCCAGCTCCCTGGGAATACAGGTAGGGCCATCTCCTGGGGGGATATTCCTTTTGGCTGCTGGAGGTCCTCGCCAGATCTCGGGGAAAATGGGCTCTCCTCCCAATCCCAGGTAAAGAACCGGGTCGCCTAGAGCACGAAATGGATGAGATGCTGGCAGAGTACGACGGCAATGACGATAATGAAGGTGAATTCGAGGCGGACAAGCAGGCTGAGCTGTCCGAGGTGAACGGATAAGGCAGTGAAGGATTTGCCATCCTCAGGTATGCGGTGACTTGGTGGGTGAAGCCGTCCTTATGGCAGAAAAACCCACAGATTTTTTTGAAGTAGATCACTCCAGGAAACATGAATTTTTATGATCATTAAATAATGTGTTGCTACTGCAGGAGCAGTTGGGAATGCAGATTTGGGGGGGAGTGGGGGGGGGGGCTGGATCGTATTGAGTCGAAACGGGCAGCTGCTCCATCACATCGCACTTCTGGATAAAGGCTCAAAATGGAAGAGAAGACAACCTGTAAAAAGAAGAGGACCTGCGTAGGACCTGTGCATTGCCTTCAATCTCCGGGCTGCCAACATGAATGTATTTTTAAAATATAGACAAAATTCAGTTTTTACTGCTTTTAACTATGAAGATGAGAAACTCTATTGTTTTAGAAAACACATTAGATATTTGTGGTCAATAGGATGTATAGAGAAACACAATGGAAAGAATATTGAATTTATCGTGAATTTATATAACTTCCATTTTTCTATGACTGCTCTTAGTAGCAGAAAGACGCCTTAATGTGTTCCAGTTATCAGCTGTACTCCTGCCTTTCTGTCATCGTTTATTTATTTAACTTGGTTGAGGTTAATTATGTGTTATTTTCATTAACACTTCATTTTGAAGGTTTTTTTCCTTTTTATTCTGCGGTCATAATGGATGTTCAGTGATTTCTGATTCAGAGATTTTTACAGAATCAAACTCATAGTTACATTTTAGCATCCAGCACCTGCTGTTTTGAGTTATGGCTTGAAAGAATGAGTTATTGCAGTGATGATGATTACTGATGCTGGTAGCTGGTGATGTAGCAGCAGTATGCAGATTTTCAAGTTCTTTGAAAATATATATATATGTGTGTGTTCTATAGCCGTGACACATCACTGGAACGAAGGAATGTGGTGCAGTTCTGGTTACTATAGTGAAACTCTTGGAATGAAAGCGATCTTAATTCTGCTTCTTGGGGCTTTGCTGTCTTCCAGCAGAGACGTTCTTGAGCATTGCAGGGATCACGGGATGATTTCTACATTTAGATACTATTTTGGAAATCTTGTATCGTGTCTTTTCTTTTTGCTGAGAACTGGGGAAAAAAAGACTTGTCACAATGTCACTTTCTTCTAGTTTCAAGTCTATAAAATAAAATAGATGACTGATGATTTCTTTTGTTATTATATTGCCATGTTAAGACATGGCAGGAATAAAATACAAGTTGCAAGCATGTGACAGTTCATTTCTGCCATTCTTTGTCCTGCTGGAGTTCACCGGTCACCACTCAGGGGGGGAATTTGCTCACACACACCACTCCCCTCCTCACTTGCTCCATTTGCCCGAGCCACAGTCCTGGAACTATACGATAGTTCATGTGCAGAGTTTGACTGAGCAGGTTAATCTACGTGGGTAAAACCAGGCATTGCCAAAGGAGAAATGGGTTCTCAGATTGGGGTGACTCACTAGGGCTGATCTGAAGAAACAGAGCAGACAGGGATTAAATTAGGGCATGTTGAATCCCATTAAAACTTCAGTAATCTGCCCTTCACAGACAAGCTCATAAGAACAAGTAGTGGGTGTAAAACATGGTTCAATTAAAAAAACTTTAAAACTTACTTTCCTTAGGATGAATGTAGTGTATATAAGAAGCATACACACCCCTGTTAAAATGGCAGGTTTTTTTGACTTGTGATTCAAGATAAAAATTAAATTTGTAAAATTTAACCTAATGGCAGAAGTCATCTTGTTTGGAAGATATATCGACATACCTTAAAAATAAAAATAAAAAACAATATACTCCCCAGCCCCAGACAAGGGTAAAAATTGTTGTGGGTGGGGGAGCAAAAGTGGTGGGTAAGCAGACAATCCATATCCATGCCCTCGGGAGAGATCAGAAGATTGGCTTGTTTTAGGATGAAAGGGTTTATTAGAAAATTAAATTGAAATTAAGTAAAAGATGGTGTCCTTAGTGGGTGGTGCTGGGGAGGAAGGAGGAAGGGGGGGGGGCACGGCACGGCCCACGAATGCCTCCCAAGGTACCAACCCTGCAGTTCCAGCCCCAAGGCATGATGTTGCCGCCACTACACTTCACCGTGGTATGGTGTCCTTTTGATGATATGTTTTGTACAAAAACATCAACATACCTTTTGAATTTTATGGTCAAAAACTTCACCCTTGGTCTCATCACACCATAACATTTTTCCACATGGATTTGAGATACTAGATATATGTTTTTGCTAAATTTAGCCAGGCTTGAATTTTTTTTTTTTTTGTGAGAAAAAGCTTCCGTCTTGCTACCCAACCCCATAGCTTAGACATGAATACAAGAGCTGGTTGTCACATGATAGAAGTAACCAGTATTTCCTGTATGTTGCTGTAGGCCTCTTGGCAGCCTCCTTGACCGGTTTTCTTCTCGTCTTCTCAGCACTTTTGGAGAGATCATCCTGTTCCCGGTAGCGTCACTGTTGTGACACAATTCCTGCACTTGATTGTCCTCATTGTACTCCATGGTATATTTAATACTTTGAATTTTCTTTTATGCTCCTCTCCCAATTGATACCTTTCAACAAGTTCTTTGTGGGCCATGACTTTTTCAGTAGGATGGACCCAAGATGTCAGGAAAATACTACAGGAACAGCTGAACTTCATATGAAGTTGGTCGCTTTAATTGATGGCAGTTGTATGCCAACTACCATTTAACTTGTGATTGAATGTAATTGATTCTGAAAATAGCCACATCCTGTTATATTTTTCCCCCCTAAAAGGCTTCTTTTTCCACCTTATTTGTATAGATGGCGATTTCACAGAAGTGAAAGGTTTGACATGATGTATCTTGGTTTCTTTATTTATGTCACAAAAACTTGCTGTTTTAACAGGGGTGTGCAGGCCTTTTATATACCCTGTATGTAATTCTAGCAGTATAACTATATGGTATTTTTCTTAATAAAAATCCCAGCTGATTAAGGAGGTAAATACAATGTCAGCTCAGTCTTCCATCAACTTGTATCCTTTTTCTTTCCACTCCACTGGCAGCTGATTTCATTTTCCTGAGAGGCCCTGTACCTGCTTCATGGACAAGGAGCAGCTTTATTCCCGATTGAGCCACATTTCATTTGTGGACACGCGCGTGTGCATGCACGCGCGCACACACACGCACACGCACACACACACGTTGGTTTCATCACATTTTATTCGTCTGCTTCGCACTCGCAGCTAACTGATGCAGTGCGTCTCGCTGGACAGTACATTGGTGTGCGGGGAAATCCAGTAACCAAAGATGACTGGGACAGAGCACAGAGTACGGGCCAGGCACCCTGGGCACATTCCCACTCCTCTGCAGGGGTGGGGGGGGGGGGGGGGCACTGGAACCAGCAGGACCGACATCCCCCTCCGCACTTCAGATGATCTTCACCACTGGGAAGTATTTGTGCGCTGAGAAGTCAAACTCTGGAAGGGCCTGCAGAGAAGGTGGGGAGCGGTTAGACCAGACATGGAGAGGATGAGGCCCAGCCTGTGTAGTAAATTACTAGTGGCGTTATCAAGTTCTATATGCAAATTTTTATCAAAATGAAACTACAAATAGGGCGTGTTTCTCCGTTCATGGATTTATCATCCCAAGAGATTAAGTTCTGGTTATTTCGATGTGGGGTGGACTTTCCAGGAGCTAGAAGAATTAATTATCATTTCATCTTCAAACTACTAATTCGCAAATTCTGTTTCCATGGCAATTCTGTGAATTCAAGCCAACCTAAAGCAAACATCAAAACATTTTTGCAAAATTAGAAAAATTTGAATGCCTCCATTAACAGTGTTTCGGTTTGCATCTTGAAAATGTACACAATGTAGGTCAATGGAAACGCCACTACTGGAGAGATGTTGTATAGCTTATGGCCAAGCACCCCATAAAACACCATCCATAACTCAAAATCAATCCTGTAAGCTCAAATTCACTTTTTATTTACAGCTCTTCAGAAGAGAACATTAATACTATTGGAGGGGGTGTAGAATGTAACGATGTAATGAATATGCTTGCAAGCTGGACGGTATGCTAACATGACAATGCCTGTGGATTCTGGGAGTAACAACATGTGCAACAACATGACCAAAGCTCTCGCTTTGTTTACATGCAGGAAGGAATACTGTCTGTACCTTGGTTTCCTTTTTGTGACCCCCTGCTAGAAGTTTCATTACCACGATGTTGGGTTTAGCTACTTTGAGAATTCTGTTCACCTGGTGGAAGAGATGCAGAAGTGTAAAGGATTAAATAAAACTTTTATTTAAATTTAAGAACAAAAAACTATGTACGCTGAACATAAATTAATTTGAAGTACAAAAGGTGCAACCCTAATACTTGAAATGCTTTTTAGACTCACTGCTAGAATTCTGACACCAAAATCAGAGAAAAGTAGTTACCCAGTAGAATGATTACCGCATAATCATGCGCTAGCCTTCAACCAACCTGACCAGCTCACCAGAGTAGAGTAGTCAATGATGACCTGAAACCTAACCTAGAACACTCCATGATGGCCCTTTGCTTGCCAATTCATACACATTTCATTTTAATTTTGTATTTACATATGATGTCTTGGTGAGATAAGATTTTACAAGTAGAATATCTTTGTTTACCTTGGTGAAAACGTGTATTATCTCAGGCAGTGCACTGGCATAGAAAACGTAGTCTTGCATTCTGTTCAATTTTAAGTACTGCACTCTTTTTTTCACTTGAAAACTCAACCTGAAGTATGTTTCACATACATCCTTTTCTGAAGAAATCTGGCAAATTAAACCATGCATTTACAGAACTGCCCAGTGTAATTTCCAACACGCTCCATTTAGGAATAGCCTATCCCATGGATGAAGCAGAGAGGCCTACCTCTGGGTCAGGGCTGGGCAGGTTCTCCAGGATCAGCCTGGCCTGCTGGAAATGTTTACTGGCCGCCATGTACAGGTCTGCTGATTGCAGTGCAGGGCTGTACTTCTTCAGATCAGACATTTCCTGGACGGGGGGACACAGAGATATGCAGGGTAGTCATTAATCAGTAGAGGGTTTGGTAGTAACCTCAGTAAACACTGTGCTGATTATCTCATCACATCTGCATCACTGTGAACACTCAGGCAAACCACAGGGACGTCACTGTGAAAGGTGTCATTGGCTAAATAACACTGTGGATGAAGGAGACACTATCCAGCCTCATGCCCTATGATGTTCCCCTGGGACCTGAGACCAGGATAAGTGATTAGAAGGTAGACAAATGGAAGGAAGGGTGAGGTATCTCAGAGGGAGGTCAGCACGCATCTGCGGTGCAGGTTCAGTACCTTGAACTGTATGTAGTGCACAGGGGGGGGCGTGACCACGCTGTTGAAGGGTGCAAAGCGGTGCTCGTAGCGGACCTGCTCGCTGTCCAGCTCGAACTTGGGCTTGCGCACCTTCCCGTCCATGTCCAGGGCAATCATCGTCTGCGCAGAGGGACAGCCTTAGCGTGTGGGACGGCATGTGTGAGAGCACACACGGAAACGTGCGTGTCGGGAACACCGTCTCCACGTTACCTTGTACATGCCGGCACACATGTTCTGGTATGCCTGACTCATCGTGATCTCGCGGCTCAAGGGACGCGCTATCCAAGGGGGGAGGGAAATGGAAGTGAGGTTCAGTGTGTGAGTGCGCTTAGCAGCCCCTAGGGGGTGCACTGCTTCATCTATCATGCATTATTTCCTGCTCCTGGATAATCCCGGGCGCCCCATCACGCTATGAGTGCAGTATCCGGGGGGGGGGATCCACCCAGACACTTCACCTTTTTTCTTCTTCTTGGACTTCTTGCTACTACGGCCCTTCTGCTGCTCCTCCAGGATTCGCTCCTCCGCCATCTGGGAGCTGTCTGCTCGACTCAGCGTGGACATGAGCCAGGCGTACAGGAACTCCGACAGGTACCTGACACACACACACACAGTCAGTCAGGAGTACAGGAACTCCGACAGGTACCTGACACACACACACACACACAGTCAGCCAGGAGTACAGGAACTCCGACAGGTACCTGACACACACACACACACACACACACACACA